CAGGGTTCTCAACACATCTGGGTTCCGCTCATACTCTTTGTCCCAGTCGCAGTAAGCGCGGGGTACAGCTCTCCCTCACATAACGGACGTGTGCAACACGAAACCTCCCAGTGCCTGTGCTCACGGGCAGGAGGGAAGGGAGTGAGTTTCCACTTTACACGGCTTTTAGGAAACAATACTGTGGCTGCGGTTCCCAAAGGTTACTCCAGAAAGGCCACCTTGTGAGCTCTCTCGATTTTTGGTCATTTATATCGGAACATGGAGAAACTGACAATAAACAGGAACGAGTACTAAAGTAATTCCTAGGCTGCTACTAGAAAATAAAATACCATTTAAAAAAAGGTTCTAAGGGAACTTATTTTTTAATGGACTTTATATGCAAGATTTCTTTTTGGAGGTTAAAATCCTATATATCTGAGACGTTCATTTCAAATGTAAATATTTCAGGATAAAAGCATAAAGTGACTTTTTACAATGGTTTGGAGTTTTAGGAGGGAGGAGTAGACCCTTAGACAGCCAGGGCCTAGGGCTGGAAATCACATTTCTGCAGGGAAGCTGGGTGGAAGGAAAGCACAGGCTGGAGGCAGCGGGTTGGACGGGAAGGGCCAGAACAGGGTCACAGGGGAGGAGATCTGGGCACCGAGCGGACAGATGAGAGCACAGTACTGGGCTTGGTCATCGGTGCTGACAAATACAGAGACAGGAACAAGGAAGGTAATGGGCTCCAAAAATATTTCCACCCACTCTTTCATAGTTTCTGAGAACAAACCCGAGAGCCGGCCCCATCTTCCACAATATCCAGGTTCTTATAAAGTGAATTGATCGTCCCCATGCCCAAGAAGAGATTTCTCTTGTTCATCCACTCCGGAGATCACAGAAAGACTAGAGAGTAGATTTTGGCATAGAGGTACAGTTAAGTTCCTGCCACCATCCCCTGCTTGCACCATGTAATACTTTACTGCTGCATTCCAGGCTCACCTCCGTGCCAAAAGATGAGCCCAGTGGTGGTATAAGCCACTCAGATCTATGAATATGTTGTTTGGCCAACTTCTTGCTGGTCACAGACTGACTCACTGTTGCCAGCCCCTTAGCCCTCTTTCCCAGGGGTGCAGCACACATCTGCATATATAGCAATGCAACTTTAGCACCTTCTGTGTTGGGAGAGGCATTCTGCACACTGTCAAAGTCAGACTTGGCCGAGTGACTGCTTTTGGCCAATGGATCATGAGCAGATGTGACATAGAGCTTGTCTGCTGCAGAAGCTTCAAAAATGTAGCGTATTTCTTGCAGTCCTTTCATTGAGAAACCATATTTCCCAAATTAAGGATCATTCCTCCAATCTGAGCACAAAATAACAGGAGACACATGAAAGAGTTGGAGCAGCAGATCCTCTCCACCAACACACAGCACAGATGAGAAACAAATGTGTTGTCTTGTAAACCACCGAGCTTTGGGGTTTGCTTAGTGTGACAGTAAAATTGACTAACATAATCACTCTAGTCCCAACCTATTTTTAAAGATTTATATGGAAGTATAATGGCATACGCACCTCACTCCTGCTGGTCTTGAGGCCTCTCTATTCCCCAGCCTCTGTGTTTCTTCCCATATTTTTCTCTTAGCTTGGCTACTTGCCCCCAACCTTGAGTAAACCTTCCTTTAGAGAAATTTCCAGCTAGCTCAAAATCTATCCCAAGCATGATATCTTTCTGGATGTCTTTGTTTGTTGTCGATTTGCTTTTTGGTTTTTTGAGGCAGGGTATATTGTTCATGCTGACCTTGACCATTGCGTAGCCCAGACTGGTCTTAAAGGCATGGCAATCTTCCTGCCTCAGCCTCCCAAGTGCTGGGATTAGAGACTGTGCAACCCTGCCTTTGTTTATTTGTCTGTGACACAGGAGATTGAACCCAGGGCCTTTGCATTGAATCATACTCTCAGGCTTTTTTATTGTTTTATTTTGAGGCAGGTTCTCACTATGTCACTAGGTTGCCTTAACCTGCAACCCTCCTGTCTCAGCCTTCTGAGTAGCTGAGGTCACAGAGGCATACCATCACACCCAGCTTGAGTGCCTTGGTTTGAAATGATTTGTTCTTTTTTCTGAATTTCCACAAGCATTCCACATTTATGTTACTGTGAGTAACACAATATTCACTGATTACCCATTTGTTAGTAATGTGATGCTCTTTATTGAACACTCACTGTATACCAGGTGTTGGTCTATACCGACAGTTTTAGTCCAAGTATACCAAGATGAGCTCAAGTGAATAAAATGCTTTAAGGGTGGGGGAAGATGGGAGAGTGAAAGAGGAAGGAATAGCAGAATGTGGCAGAAGGAGTCACAGTACACTGAGAGTGAAAGGGGAAGGAACAGCAGAATGTGGCAGAAGGATTCATAGTACACTGAGGGTGTAACACCTGTGGGAAAGATACAGAAGGAAGGAGAATTAGGGAGGAAGCCTTGGGCTGCAGGGCAATCCCAAGAAATGTTCACCCAAGGCTAATGGGGATGTCTTTGTTTGTTTGTTTGTTTGTTTCTTGAGACAGGGTCTCATCATGTAGCTCATGCTAGCCTTGAACTCACTGTATAGCCCAGGCTGGTCTTGAACTTGCAGTGATCCTCCTGTCTCAGCCTCATCAATGCTAAGATTGTGGGTGCATGCTATCATACCCAGTTTGGGAGTCTTTAAACCAAAGTCTTTGGAGTGAGTGGTCCGTGTCTCACAGGAAAATGCCTCCCATTGGCCTCTCTGCACTTGACCACTGGTTGTGAGCAGGACTGTGGGAATATGGTGGTGACAAGGACAGTAGCTGGAGTATTTGACCAATTATGTTTCCATAGCAGGAAACCTGAGTGCCCCTTTTTCATGCCTAATATGCCTTAGTCATTAAACCGTTACACAATCCTCTGAGGTTACACAATCTTCTGTTTCAGAGTAAGAAACTGAGACCTAGAAGGATTTAAGAGGCATTGCTCCCATCACCCAGCAAGGAGTGGGATGGAGCCAAAATCTGTCCTCTAACCATCATTAGACTCAGCGCTGCTGTTCGTGGGGAGGGGGCTGGGATGCCTCTTGTGAGAAGGTGAAGCATCAGTAATCAGTGCCTGCTTGCTTTGGTTAGGCCCGGAAGTACACAATCTACACTGGACTGTTGAGAGGAAGGCATCCCCTGTCTCACAGGAATGCACAGAACTTCTGCCTATCTTTGGACCAGGGACTAAAACGGGACTTGTGTTTCAGATGACAACTCTTTACTGTTGTGATAACATATTTGGAAATATTTGTCAATAGAGCAGTCCATTCGAGGTGCTTCCTAACATGCCACGCAGATGAAGCTTTCCTATGTTCCTGTAATCCCTGACCCCTATTCCAGTCCCATATCCTGCTGGACCTAATAGATGGGCTGTTGTTAATCTTGCAGTCTATCACATTATGTCCACAGTTTTCGTCCTGTGAATGTGTGTCTTTTTTCTTCTCCTAAGAAACTTGTTTTTATGTTTTATTTTTTTGTTTTTTTTTCCAGCACCAGGAATCGAACTCACGACCTTGTGCTTGCCAGGCAGGCGCTGTGCCGCTGAGCTAAATCCCCAGCACCTTTGTTTTTATTTTTATTTCTTGTTCTATGACTATGTTTCCTATTAGTTTGAGTTGTGAAACAACTTGTTAAAAGAAGCAACTAAGCCCAGGTGTGGTGATGCTCCCTTGTAATCCTAGCTTTCAGGAGTCTGAGGCACGAGGATCCCTGTGAATTTGAGGCAGCCTGTGCTACAAAGTGAGCTCAAGGCCAGCCTGAACTACATAGGGAGACCCTGTCTTGAGTAAAAAAAAAAAAAAAAGGTACCTAGGGACATAAAGACAAAAGAAATTTGACATTTTGAAAGAGGATTTAAACCATGCCTTCTCATCTACTAAAACAAATAAAAGAAAACCGAAGAAACTTTAGGATAAAGGTATGAAAAATACTGCCATTTACTTCTATGTAAATCACACACGTAAATCAGTGTGTGTGTGTGTGTGTGTGTGTGTTATAATGGTTAAGGTGGCTATGTGCAGAATGCTGGCTTGTGGCAGGTGATTTTCAGACTACATGTCACCTGCAAGAGTCTTCTGCAATGAAATACGAAAGGACACAACCAACAAATCATGCAGCAGACCCTGCTGGTCCTTGCACTGATCACTGCCTCCCCAGCCGCCGTGTGTGGGATTTTTCCTGCCTTGGACAGTGCGGTGTGGCTGGGAATCAACGATCGAGCTTAAGAGCATTTTTAACAGGTTCAATAAATAAACCTAGTTAATGGGCGTGTAATGAAGAAAAAAAAAAGGACTTTTTCTCCAACGGCTACTTTAAGGATTAGTTCATTGGGGGGAGCTTGTTTGTTTGGGTTTTTCTTCTTTTGTCTTTGGAGGAAACGTCTACCCCTTACTACACTTCGGGTTATTCTTAGATTATGAAGACACCCTGAATCACTTAAACTACAGCATGCAGTCTTCACAAATTAGGATGGTTGCCCGCTGCAGTTAGCGTTCAGATGGGAGCCTCGGCCTCACCAGGCCTGAGCTGGCACGGCGCGAGTCTGCAGTGGGAGGCGCACAGCGGGCTCCTCGCGTCCTTGCCCACATTTCTCGCCCCGCAGTAACCTTCCCCGCGGGCTGGGAAGCAGCGGAGAAGAAGGAAGGGGCTGGGGACGGAGACCCCACTGGGCGCCTCGCCTGCGCTGACTCGCTGTTCAGACGTTACTCTAGGCTCCGGCCCGCGGCTCCACCTTCTGCGGTCACCCCGAGCCTCCGGCCGTCCAGGTGACTCTCCTGTCCTCTAGCAGAAGTGCTTCTCTTCTCTTTTTTGCATTTAAATTGAATTTGCTTTTAAACTGCTCCACAGAGACATAAAAACAGTGCCTTTAGAACCCTACGTACAAAGGCCCTGGCCGGCACTCTGCGCCCTCGCTGCCGCGGCCGGGCGGGCACGGACGCGGCACGCGCGGGAGTGAAGTTGCCCGCTCCGGGCAGCGCTGCCTGCCCCCCAGCCTGCAGTTCTCTCGCTCTGACGGGTGGCAGAGGGGCCTCTTGAACCCCAGGCAAAAAGCAGGTTCTCATAGTGGTTTTCGTCGAAATCGTTCTCAATGTAAGGGGCCGTCACCCCCAGCCCTCCCTTGGGGTAGAGGAGGGGGCGCGCAGGACGCCTTTCTCCAGCCAAAGCTGCCTTCAAAGCTTGCTTTTCGGTGCTGGGTCTCACTAAACTGCCCCGCTGGCCTCCGGTCTATGAGGCCGCTCCTGCCTCAGCCTCCCCAGCAGTGAGCGTTACCGGCCGGTGTCGTCACGCGCACACACCGCCTGCCTATTCCGCGTCGCACTGGGACTCGGCTGCAGCGCCAGCTGGAAGGGTCACCTCGACTCAGTAAGGCGAATGGGTGGTTCCTCATTTTTCTTCATCTTCTTGTTTTTTTCTTTCTTTTTTTTTTTTTTTTACTTTGTAGCAAAATCCCTTCTTGTGAAGGAAATATTTCAATCCATTTGTTGGTAAATATTTCAAGCAAATAAAAACAAATACAGTGGGATAAAACTGCAGCGCGGTCGTGGAGACTGCCCACCTGGCTTCATCGGCAGCTCCTTAGGCAATGATCAAAAATCCCGTGGGTTGAGAAAAATTCTTTGAAAAACCTCACTTTGAAATAAAAAGTGACTTAAAAATTAGAGGCCAACTTCAGGCTGATTGTCGAAAACAGCGTGTTCCCTGCAGCCCTCAGAGTCAGAAGCCACAACACCTGGGCCGCTTCCTCTTCTCTCTGAGATCAAGCGGGCAGTGAGGGCCGCACCCGCTGCCCTCCCGGGTCTGCCTTCCAAGCGCCGCTCAGCGAGACCTCAGCGGGCCTGGAGTCTGGTTTATGCATTTCTCTGAAACCCAAGCTTTTGAAATGGAATCCCCATGAAGATGCTCATAAAGGCACTGCCTTCTTTTCTTTCAAACCAGAAAAGAAATAAAGAGCCCTAAAAACTTTATTCTGTGGATAGAATGTTTATGACATTTTAATGTCATTCCTTAAATCCCTAAACCATATGCACAGTTCAGACTTTAATTAACACTAATTATGTTTTTGGCCTTTTGAACCATGACTACTAGCTAGGGTGCTACTGCTGTGAGTTTTCAAAAGGAGATGGAACAGCCTTTTGCTCTTTCCTGCTTGCTTTTCCCCTACAAGAGCGCTAGCACGCACCGACAGTGACCCACCCGGCCTGTGTGGAAGAATGGACCGTGTGGGAGTCGGTGGTCTCTCGGTGTCCCTGGGATAAAACGGCAAGAGGATTAAGAAAACGGCAAGAGGATTAAGAAAACAAAGACAAGAGAAAACAGCTGGGGTCAGTAGAGTTACCGCTTGCTTGATGAGCAGGAGGACTGACCTCAACAGTAGGGGCGTTTACTTTATACACTTGCAAAGTAGTATCATGAGAGTTAATGTCGCCTAGCGACTAAGACTAAGACTGTAATTGTCCAAGCAGAGTACTTTTTTCAATACTGAGGTAGCTTGACTGCCTGAGGCGCTCTGCCTCTGTCCCACCCTCACACACATGACCCACGACCAACCCCAGTGGCTCCCAACAGGACTGGACTTACTCTTTAGCAATTACACCCTCGACTGAGCAAATAGCAAAACATTCTCACACATTCAGTTTCTCAACTAGACCTGTGGAGTATATAAAATGGTAGCTACTTTGGAGGAATTGGCCTGATGACGCCACTTGTTTTTGAGTGAGTAGAAAGATTCATGAGTGAGCAGAAAAGATGAATAGATAACACAGGGAATTACAATAATCTGTTTTCTCTCCTATTACATTCCCTACTTGGTGACCCTGTAAGAGTTCTTCCTGGCTGTGTGGGACTCTCAAGACTGCTCTGTAGTGAAGAATATATCTTAGTGTGACCCTGAGAAGCCACACTGAAGGCATGATTAGGGTCTCAAAGTCCTGAACCCACAAATATCTGGGCTGATTGTTTTGCATTGCCCGAAGCTTATCTCAGAATTAAATCCATGTCTGAGTGGGAGGCTGGAGAGTGGGCTTGGGGAGAATATGGTGTTCTTTTCTTTGAGCCTGCAGCTTCTTAAATGTTTAGCAATGAAAAAATTAAGACTTTAAGCTTTACTGCAGGGAGGGCAAATGATGAATGTGAGTTTAGACAAAGCTCTGCGGAGGCTTCCCTTGGACCCGTGCAGTATACAAATTAGAAAAGGATTGTTCAAAATAACCACTACCTTTAGAAAGTAACCATTTTACTGAGAATTTATTTCCAAAGAATATTGAATCGGAGGACTGATAGCTGATCATTAACCTTTAGTTCTCTCTGGTGGTGCTAGGGATTGACCCCAGGGTCTTGTGCTTGTAAGTCAAGCACTGTCCCACTGAGCTACATCTCCAGCTCAATAATTAATATCATAAAGCTGGAAAGTGTGTAATCAAAGCTGTGTCAGCAAGAGTGGGGCCCACCTCTTCCACAAGCAGCCCTCTCCTCTCTTTTGATATTTTTATTTCTGCCGAAATTTGGTGTGTGAAATATACACTACTTGTATTTTCAATAACTGTTCTATATATTGTTCTTGTGCTACACAGGATTTCCTGGGTCTGTGCTAGGCACAGGGCGGTCCTCATAAAATTGTGATTTGCTGACTCATGCTTAGGAAGCCACTGTGATGGTCAACTGCCTCGAAGAGACTTGGGTCTGTGACCGCAGAGACCGATTATCATGCAATATGCCCAGATGCTTAGGGAACTGTTGTCAGTCCTGTTGCATTCCTGGTAAATATGTTTAATGTGTTCATAAGGCTTAACCCTAACTTGTATGTTAAAGAAGACTATACTTTTTCCTGTCAGTGAGAAAAAGAACAAATGCTTTTGAGACCATAGCTGTCCCACTGCAATATAGCACAATGGTTTTTAATTTTAGAGCATTCATAGCCCCACTTTGCTATTTATTGCTCGTGACACTGAGAAATTCTTAAGCATCAAGCCTCACTTTTTAAAATCTTTAAAATGGTGATAAAATAAGAGCTAGAGTAAGAAAAGAACGAATGCTCATGAAATGCTTAACATGTAACAAGCAATTATTTTTAATGTACTGCAGATTGACTTCTTTATGAACTGTGTAACAGTAAATGACTTTATAATCACAAACGATTATGCCTAATTTCATTTTGCAGTACAGTGACGCGGTTAAGACGTAGAATTTGGAGTCATCCAAACCTATTTTAAATCTTGACTTCCCCACTCTCTCTCATTTCCTAGGTGGGGCTGGTGCCCAAGACATGCAGACAGCAGGGCCGATCACACACACTGTGCAGTGTGGCTCAGAGTCCCTGGGAAAGGGGTAATTTGAGCAGAGTTTAGGAAAGTGACAACACACAGGTATGAATGAGTGATGGGAAAGGTTAGAATGGAGCTAGAACTCTGACCTCGGGCGGGTAACAGAGGGCCCACACCCTGTGCCTCACTCTCCTCACTGCTCTACCTGGGAGGGGCGATGAGCAGCGTCTGGAAAGAGACAGTGTCTGGAAAGTAGAACAGGGCATCTACTTGATGTAACCGGAGTTGTCCGCGTCCCTGAGCATAGAGCGAGAGGCAGAGTGGAAGGTGAAAAGCGAATATAGAGGGGCAGTGGGGGGATCCAGTCAGCAATGACCAACCAAGTGTCCAGGATAATAACACTCAATTGATTATGGTTTTCAAATAAAATATGACATACACCGGGCATGGTGGTGCACACCTGTAATTCCAGCACTCAGGAGGCTGAGGCAGGAGGATCACCTTGAATTTGAGGCCAGACTAAGCTACATAACAGAGTTCAAGGTCAGTATGGACTACATGGTGAGACCCTGTCTCAAAACAAAACAAAATGACATAAAATCTTGTGATCTTGAAATTATAACTTTAAAAATGTACTCTCAAGAGAGCAAAAGAGTATCTATTTTTCAGCCAGGCATTGAGGCTGACAACTGTAATCTCAGCACTTGAGGAGGCAGAGGCAAGTGTGGGCTACGGAATGAGACTCTGTTTCAAAAAACATTGATACAGTTTTATATATTTAGTGGCATAAATATGGTTAGAATGTCTATTCTTGCAATTTGTTTGGATCCATTAAAGTCTTCTTGTATCTGCCCTACTCTTAGAAGGTAGGGCAGGGTTGATTACCAGGAGATCCCCAGACCTCCCTCTGCTGTGAACACTGCATTACGTATACTGCTTACAGTCACTGCTGGGGGCGGTAAAATCATTTTAAATTTAATTTGTGCCCAACCACGTTCTTGGGTCTCCCATCTGAGAGACACTTGCTCCTGGCCAGTCAGCTAATGTCAGTTAAGGATCTTTCTGCAGTTAATTTACACACATTCTTGATGCCGCTCTTTCTTTTAGCTCTCACGGTTTGGAGTCAGACAAACCTGGATCCTCAGGTCAATCTTAGCAGCCCTCTCTTTGAATCACGTTCACACTGGAGTTTTGGAGGGGACATTCAAGCCATCGCACCATAATAAATTACCCGGTTTCTGCAGCTTTCCCGGGTGTTTTCCATTTCTTGCTACATAAATAATTCTTCAGGGTAGAGCCCCAAGAGCCAGAGTACCTCGCAATTGTATAACGCAGTGCTTCCTGAGCTAATCTCTGAGGAACACAAGCATCTGAAAGATATTAATTGGATTTCCCCAAAGGAAATGTTCCACGATCAAATAAATTTGAAGAAGACTAGGTAAAGCAAGGCTAAGTAAATTCCAAATTACAAATGTTCTTTCTGCCTTTCATATGTGTATTGTGAGTCTTGTATGGAGAGGTCATATCTAGTATTTTCCAAACCGACTTTACTATGAAAATCTTTTAATAGAACCTCAAGTCCAACAGAACACACTTTGGAACATCCAATATAGTTTAGAAAGAATTTGATTTAATTTTCATATAATCCTCTAAATTGTCAGGCCAAATAACGTTATCTTTATTTTACAGGTAACACAAATGCCACTCTCGGCATTAGAACTGGTCTTGGCCATGGATCACAATGGGGTGAAATGGACTGAAATTGAGGTATTTGGCCCAGAATTTTAATTTCGTTCCATTGCACTGCGTCTCCAGCTGTGTGAGTTTCGGAGGGTCATTATAAATCTTAGTCATTTCTGTGCTTCTTTCACACAATATGGCAGACTCGGTAATTTCTAGGGGAAATACATTTATTTCTCATGGCCTGGCGAGTCTAGTGATCAGGTGTGAGGACCTGGGAGGGCCGTTGCTGTGCTGTAGTGTGGTGGAGGACATTACTCCTTCAGGAGAGAACCAAGAGGGGGAGCAGAGCTTATCTCTCAGTTAGGGGGGCTCTGAGGAAAAATCAGTTCATGCCTCCTTCGCTGCGGGTGGTTGCCAGCACTTCTCAGAGTTCTTGGCTTTCAGCTCATTACACCAGTTCCTTTCCTTCCCTTCCCTTCCCTTCCTTTCCTTTAGCTTTCTCATCTTTTACCATTCACTTTCACCTTTCCTTCTCTCTTCCCCACCCTTCTCCTCTCTTTTTTTTGTTTTCTCTGCTGGAGAGTAAACCCCGGGGCCTGGATTGTCAAGCACGTTAACCACATACTCTCCCACTCTGCTCCATCCTAGCCTGTATCATTCCAGTTTCTACCTCTGTGTTCACTTGGCTTTCCTACCCAGCCGTGTGCACGTCAACTTGCAATGGAAACATTTCAAATGATCAGGACTGCTTTTTTTTTGAGACAGGGTCTCACTATGTAGTTCAGACTGGCCTTGAGCTCACTTTGTAGCCCAGGCTGGTCTCCAACTCACAACAGCCCTCCTGCCTCAGCCTCCTGAGTGCTGGGATTATAGGCGTGCAGCACCATGCCCAGCTCTGTTTATTTATTATAGCAGCAAAAATCAGGTTACCTTGACCCTGACCATTATCATCATTGATTCTAGCAGGATTGCATTCTGAAAATTCAATTCTAGTATAATTTATGCAGATAAATTTTGGAGGGAAAAAAAAACTGGATGATTTTTCTAGAATTGTTTTTTCTGAAGCTATGACATTACTCAGTAGGGCCTGTAAAATTATTTGAGCAAGTTTCTTTCAAATAACTCATTTTTTATCCTTTGGAAAGTGCTTTGAAAGACATTTTATGGAGTTGTCCATGAGTCTTTTCGTAGTGTTCAAAGGCCTTCACTGAGTCCCTTGGGGACAAACATACTTTTCTCAGTACTGAGGATTAAGCTCAGGGCACTCTGTCACTGAGCTACTTCCTCTGTCCTTTTTGTTTCTTTGAATTTTGAGATAGAGCCTCAATAACTTGCCCAGGCCAGACTTGAACTTACAATCATGCATCCTTAAACATCCCGAGTGCTGAGACTGCAGGCCTGCACCACCACGCCTAGCTACAAACCTTACTTGTTCAGCTCTAAAAAAGATTTTCAATATTGATTGGACAGTAATATTAACAGCTATCAGTCAGTAGTTGTTCTCTATGCAAGCTACTGTGTATTATGTGTAACCAACTTCATTAAAATATTTCTCACAGCACACCTATGAAGATAGGTATTCTTACCACTCCTGATCTCAAAGGGGGAAAGTCAAATAGTTAAAGGTGAAACCCAGCCTTTACTCTGATTCTGTGCTTATGATGTTTGATCTCCACGTCTTCGTGTCAGCTGAGTCAGAAAGAGAAGCTGTCTTTGTCAAGGGATGCACCAGGCTATAGCTCGGAACAGGGTTTCCTGAGGATGGCCCTGCAGGCTCCTTCTGGGGATCCTACACCTGTTTTTCCAGCTGAGGCTCGGAAACCCTTTGCTGGTGTTTAGAATGAGAAAGCCCAAATGGGTGTACGTATAGGTGTGGCTAAGAGGAGGAGAAATGGGCTGTCACTGGTCTCTTCCTCTCCTCTCCTCTTTCCTTATTTCTACCTGCGCTAGTGCCTGCGCGTCGTGACCCTCCGGCACCCTTCCTGTGTCCTGCTAATAATCCTCTCGGGTACTCACTTGGATATAGCAGGGCAAAGCCGTGGCGGTGATGCAGTACCCACAGAGAATTATGGAAGGAGCTCACGACTGCAGTGCTGTTGTGACAGAGATTTATGTTGGATTCTCATTCAATATTTGGCGAGTTCCTGAAATGTTACTTCATACACAAAAACCACAATCACCCAGTTTTATGTGAAATCTGGCAACTTACTATATATCACTACAGCTGCCTGAGTTTATGAATCTGAATTCTTTTCAAACTTCTGCATGTGGTAACATGTTCCATGACCTTTTTTGTTAAGTTTACCCCTATATTTTAGGTGGGCATAAGGATCACATTCATCATAGGGGATTTGCACCGTACATGGTAGCTTGATTCTTTTGTTCCCGCTCCCCTCCCCTCCCCTCAGCCCCTCTTCCCCTCCTTATGCACAAAAGCTTTGCTTCCATTCTCCCTTCTTCTCTCATCTTTTCTTTCCCCCTCCTTCCTGTCTCCCTCCCCGCTCCCCAGTTCCCCTTCCCATTTGAAGATTTTCTTCCGATTTCCCAGTATCCATTGTACATTTTGGTCGTTATTTACGCGTCCGGTTTCTCACACCAGAGAAACAAGGCAGACATGCACCGTTATCTCAAGACAGCACATTCTGCAAATTTTCTCTGTTTTGCAAAGCGGAGACTTATTTGTCAGAAACTTCCATGTGTCCGTAACAACATTATTCACCTACTTTGATAATCAAGGACTTGCCTATCAAAACCAGTTTGTGTTTAAATCCACTGCTTCATCAAGCAAATACTGAATGTCTACCGTGTCTTGGCCAAGCGCGGGCGGTGTGCTGTGTGTCTTCTGAGTCGGAGCAGCTCCATAGCTTGTTCAAGGTAGCAGCTTTCCAACATGGCTGCACGACGGAGCGGCAAAGAGCGGAGGTCCAGCCCGTGCCAGTTCAGTGGGCTCTGTCCCTGGAGCAGGGCTGCACCTGCCTGGAGGAAGGCACCTGCCTAGAAGGCTGCAAACCCCACCAATTTGCCAGGCCGTTGTCTCCAGGGGCTGAAATACCGCAGAGGGGATGCTTTTGTCCTTACTCATGCATTTACACACAGGCTTGCTATGTGTAAGCTTGAAGCCTATGCTTTCTAGGCTTTGTTTTATGACCCAGTATGGAGTTTTACTCATTCTCTTGGTCAGATTTATGTGCTTTTTTGGACATATGCCAGCTTATTTCTTTTCTCTTATTTGAATTTACCAGAATTCCATACAGTGTTTTAAGTAGACTGTGCCCACTGACAGAGAGTTTGTGATTACAGTTTGCTAATGATCGCCAGAGTCTTAATGGTTTTTAGGGGACAGCAGCCCTTTGAGAGACTCTTGACCGGCCACTTGGAAAGATGTGATGCATTTTGATATTTTATTGCTGATAAAGTTTAATTCTAGAGCTGCTGACAGTTGTGCTTGCCATTCCTGGGGAGAAGTTTCCTGGGGATCTAGCCAGCGTGGAGGAAGGAACTAGGTAAGGAAAAAGGATGGGAGAGCGGGGGAGGGAAAGGTGCCAGGGAGGCCTAATAGACTAGATGGCTCTGGATCCAGCCTTTTGTGAAGCTTCTTATCGCAAGAATTCACAATGAGCTACCTTCATTTAACATAGGCAACTCTCTCCTTTTCCTGACATTTTCCAGGCAAATGCAATATGAGATTACTTATGTCCGCTTTTGCTCTGTTTGAAGTTAGGAGGGAGGGGCCATGAATGAGTGTGTATGTTGGTGAGTGTGTGTGTGAGGTCCGCTATGTGTGCCACCATTTGAGCTTTATAGCAGTCCTATAAGTTAGGTGTTGCTGACTATAAATACAAAATTCAAACATTAGGGTGAGAGTTAACTTTAACTTGTAAGAATAAAGGTTTAAAACATATGTGTGTGTATGTCTGTGAATGTGTGCATTTGTGTATTACACATATGCAATCAGCTGTCAGGATCAGACACAGCTGTATGTCTGTGAATGTGTGCATTTGTGTATTACACATATGCATCAGCAGGCTTATGATATTATTTAGAGCTTTCATCTGTACATTTTTCCTTGCCATTACTTCTAAATAAAACGGTATAATCACTATGACCATAGTATTTACTTATTGATTGATGTGTGGTGCTGGGGATCATCCCCAGCCCAACATGGTATTTACATTGCATTAGATAATATAAGTACTCCAGAGATGATTTTTACATATACAAGGATGTGCATGGATTATATGCAAACGCTACACTATTTTATACAAGGGACTTGAACATCTTTAGATTTGATCTGTGGAGTGTCCTGAGATCTATCCCATACAGACTCCAAAAGATGACTGCATAGCACATCCTGGTGTATATATGTATGCATATGTATGTAGGGTTCATAGTATGCAATAGACAAAATTGAAATGTTCATGGTAAAGAAAGTTCAGCTCTGCTCCCTCATTTGAATCAATGCAGTTTTTCAAGATTGTCAATTTACTTGCACCAGGGATGTCAACACTTGATTGAAGCTTGAAATCAGATCTTATTTACTCTTTCAGTGTCTCACACTAGGGAGACAACACCATGTTTAGACATGTGCATCTGGTTTATTTCCCTTATGTGTATGGTCTCAAGTTGCATCCATTTACCTATAAAAGTCTCAAGTTTATTCTTCTTTAAGGCTGAGTACTCCATTGTATAAAAAGACCACATCTTTTTTATCCATTCCTTGATTGATGGACGTTTGGGTTGTTTCCAAGATCTAGCTATTACAAATTGTGTTGCTATAAATGTAGGTGCACATATATTGCTGTGATACAGTATGTTTAATTCTTCTGGGAAGATACTCAGAAGGGAAATAGCTCGATCGAATGGGACCACCAGTCCTAGTTTTTTGAGGAATCTCCACAGTGATTTCCACAGTGGTTGCATCAGTCTCCACTTCCACCAACAGTGAAGAAGAGTTTCTTTGTCCCCACAGCCTTGCCAGCATTTGTTATTGGTTTTTCTTTCTTTCTTTCTTTCTTTCTTTCTTTCTTTCTTTCTTTCTTTCTTTCTTTCTTTCTTTCTTTCTTTCTTTCTCTTTCTTCCTTCCT